CTTCCCCTTACTCCCTGGCACCCCCCAGTCCCCAAACTGTGGTTGCAAGTGAGGGAAGCTTTTCTGACCACGCAAGTTGATATTTTAATTTTTTTCAAAATATCACTCTAGGTGTTTTCCTCCACCCATAAATAGTTGTTGCAGAGAATTTTTTGACAGTTAAAACACAGCCAAAGGCTACCACACTGCCTACCTTAGACACTAAGTATAAATCCTTAATCTGAAATAAGGCATGGTTCTTACTTTAAGAACTTGTAAATCTCTACATTTTGGAAGTGAATTTGAAATATAATGGGTTAAAATTTCCATGAAGTCTCATTCCCACAGTCTCACAAGTGAGGATAAGTAGGAATGTAATTTTCTTGGGGACAGAGAATGATATAGGGGTCAGCAACATAGCCTGTGGGCCAGATCCAAATCTGGCTTGCAGAGCTGAAAGATTTTGCTTCTACTCATACCCCTGTGGGAGCTCTACTAGGAGTGGGCAGCTGGAAGCTACATCTGCATTTGCCACTGCTACTCCCTGCCCCCCTCTCCCTCTGGCTGAATTGTGGGTGCAGCTCCCAGCTGCCTGGCCCTGGCTCAGTTCCCCCCCCATCTGGAAGTTGCATTCATGCCATGGGTGGGGAGGGGGTGGGCTGGGAAAAGCAGCAGCAACACATGGCAATGGTGAAGACGCAAGCAGATCCCCTTGCTGCTGATGCGCTGCCAAAGCCACCTTGCTCACCCTGGACTGGGGCTGGGTTGTTCTGACCTGTGACTTATAAAGGTTGTTGGTCCATTCCTGCTTTAGTGCCTCTGCTCTTAGATTTGTCAAGCAATAGCAAAGTGAAATAGACATAGTGTAAAGATGTGGCTAGCTGTGTTAGTCTGAAGTTGGGCAGTTTGGTACCTTTTAGATATTAATGGGTTCAGAAAGGCATGAACGTTCAGAGTGTAGTTTTTAGCTTCATCATCTCCTCCCCCAAGTTGTGGATAAAATTGAATGTTGGCAAGTGTTCATCTCTCTTTCATTCAAGAAAGCTCTGAAGAGTAGAGTTGGGCATTACAGTTCTCATGAAAAAGGAGGGTTAAAGAGAGAGCTTGTATGTATTGGTAGGTGGGTGGGTGAGTGCATTAGTAGAGACCTTGTTAATCTTCCCTTCTCCAGCACATGTGAGACTCAGCAGGGAGGAGAGACCATGTTTTTCTGTACTTCAGCAGCTATTGAAGAAAACTTCATCTTCATTAAGGACTAGCAAGCTGGGATGTGATCCAGGTGATGGGGTCCTAAATCTCAGCACCTTCTACTTGTAGTTTGCCCTGGACCTTGTTGGTATCCCTCTCCACCACCCCTTCTCTCATATGCATCTGGTAAATGTTCCAACTTGGATCTAGAACAGGGGTGGGCAATTATTTGGGCCTGCAGGCCACATAGGCAGTCTTGGAGAGCTCCCATTGGCCAGTCAGCACCCTCCACGCCAACAGCCCAGAGCCCATGTGCCCTGCAGCTCCTCCCTGCCAGTGCCAACAGTGCATAGACCCAGCCCCAGCTCTGGCCTCCTGCTCCCACTCCAGACTTGTCCCAGCCAGAGTGGACCAGCCAGAACTTGCACGTACAGCCCCAAACCCAGCCTGCCCTGCACCCACTCTGGACTTCCTGCCCATGCTGAGCAGCAGCAGCAGTTGGGTAGAAGCTGCTGGTGGGCAATGGGGGTGGGGAGTAGCCCCTCTCCCTCACCACTGCCAGGCCCTTCTTGCTGCAGGCACCTGGAGCCAGTGCCTGGGCTGTCCTATGGCTCCTGTCTACCACCCTCACCGCTGCTGCTGAGCCACCCAGCAGGGCAGCAGTGGCAATGCAGAGGAGCTGCAGGGCAGTCTGGGCATGGGTTCTGAGTGGCTGTGGCAAGAAGGACCCAGCAGTGGTGAAGGGGAGCAGCTGCTTTCCCCCCAAACCAAGCAGCAACTTCTGCCCTGCTGCTGCTCAGCATGGTGGGCGAGTCCAGAGCAGGTGTAGGGCAGGCCGGGGTTGGAGCTGTGCGCACAGGTTCCGGCTGGTCCAGGGCTAGTCACCTGTGCTGGGCTGAGTCCAAAGTGGGCACAGAGCAAGCTGTGCACTTGGGTCCCCACCAGTACAACAAGGTTGGGGCCAGCAGCAGCAACAGCTGGAAGGAGCTGCCGTTGCTTGGGCTGCTTAGAAAGGCAGTCCAGCTGCAGCCCTGCTGTGTCCCCAAGGGGTGGCAGGATGGGCCAGATGGTGCCTGGACCAAGGGACCTGCTGTGGGCTGGGCAAAATCTTGCTGTGGGCTGTATCTGGTCTGTGGGCCATATGTTGCCCACCCCAATCTAGAATGTAATGAGTTTTGCTTGTTAAAACAGCAGGGCCTATGAGATTGCCTTACTTGGAACTGAGCAAATTGCCCAACCCTAATCAAAGATGGAAGGTTGCCAAGAAAACATGGAGTAAGCAGCCTGTGACAGGCTGTCTTGGAGAGGAAACAGTAGAGCTTAAACAAATAACTTGGTTAAAGAACAAACAATAAAAAAAGAAATGACCCCAGTCAATAAAGATCTGACTATTGCTATGCAGCCTGTTCAGGAGTAAGCTTATGTGACAAAAAAGAACTGTGGTTTTTAAATTCCTGAATTTCTGTAGTGCCACATTAGCAGGTAATGTGCCCATTATAAGGAAACCTTGCAGAGAGGTTTTGTATAGACATCAGGGTTTAGCAGGCTCTAATGGCCACTTGTTTATCAAATTAGTGCACATCTGAAGTTCTGAGGAAATGATAGAACTTCCTGAGCAGTTGTCCACATATTGATTTGCCTGGCCCGGAGTCTGGATTCTAGAGGAGTTTTTCCTTTAGTCTTATGAAGACTTTTAAAAAGATGTTTAATGAAGGTGCACCGATACATTGGGCTGATATTGGATCAGCACTGATATAAATAAAAATATCTGCATTGGAAATCAGCCATATCAGGCTGATCATTTGGGTGATAAATGGCCCGTGCATATGCACAGCTGCAGTGTAGTGCATAGGTGATGAGGAGCACAACCTGGCAGGTGGAGAGCTGCCTTCAGCTGGTAAGTCTAGCTTGGTGGGAGGGGAGAAG